AGCTTGTTGCAGTGATGGGTGAACTATCAAGCTTGTTGCAGTAATGGGTGAACCAGCAAGCTTGTTGAAGTGGTGGGTGAACTAGCAAGCTTGTTGCAGTGATGGGTGAACTAGCAAGCTTGTTGCAGTGGTGGGTGAACTAGCAAGCTTGTTGCAGTGATGGGTGAACTAGCAAGCTTGTTGCAGTGGTGGGTGAACTAGCAAGCTTGTTGCAGTGATGGGTGAACTAGCAAGCTTGTTGCAGTGATTGGTGAACTAGCAAGCTTGTTGAAGTGGTGGGTGAACTAGCAAGCTTGTTGCAGTGATGGGTGAACTAGCAAGCTTGTTGCAGTGATGGGTGAACTAGCAAGCTTGTTGCAGTAGTGGGTGAACTAGCAAGCTTGTTGCAGTGATGGGTGAACTAGCAAGCTTGTTGCAGTGATGGGTGAACTAGCAAGCTTGTTGAAGTGGTGGGTGAACTAGCAAGCTTGTTGCAGTGATGGGTGAACTAGCAAGCTTGTTGGGAGTGGTGGGTGAACTAGCAAGCTTGTTGCAGTGATGGGTGAACTAGCAAGCTTGTTGCAGTGGTGGGTGAACTAGCAAGCTTGTTGCAGTGATGGGTGAACTAGCAAGCTTGTTGCAGTGATGGGTGAACTAGCAAGCTTGTTGAAGTGGTGGGTGAACTAGCAAGCTTGTTGCAGTGATGGGTGAACTAGCAAGCTTGTTGCAGTGGTGGGTGAACTAGCAAGCTTGTTGCAGTGATGGTGAACTAGCAAGCTTGTTGCAGTGGTGGGTGAACTAGCAAGCTTGTTGCAGTGGTGGGTGAACTAGCAAGCTTGTTGCAGTGATGGGTGAACTAGCAAGCATGTTGTAGTGGTGGGTGAACTAGCAAGCTTGTTGCAGTGATGGGTGAACTAGCAAGCTTGTTGCAGTGATGGGTGAACTAGCAAGCTTGTTGCAGTGGTGGGTGAACTAGCAAGCTTGTTGCAGTGATGGGTGAACTAGCAAGCTTGTTGCAGTGATGGGTGAACTAGCAAGCTTGTTGAAGTGGTGGGTGAACTAGCAAGCTTGTTGCAGTGATGGGTGAACTAGCAAGCTTGTTGCAGTGTGGGTGAACTAGCAAGCCTTGTTGCAGTGATGGGTGAACTAGCAAGCTTGTTGCAGTGGTGGTGAACTAGCAAGCTTGTTGCAGTGATGGGTGAACTAGCAACTTGTTGCAGTGGTGGGTGAACTAGCAAGCTTGTTGCAGTGATGGGTGAACTAGCAAGCTTGTTGCAGTGATGGGTGAACTAGCAAGCTTGTTGCAGTGATGGGTGAACTTGCAAGCTTGTTGCAGTGGTGGGTGAACTAGCAAGCTTGTTGCAGTGATGGGTGAACTAGCAAGCTTGTTGCAGTGATGGGTGAACTAGCAAGCTTGTTGCAGTGGTGGGTGAACTAGCAAGCTTGTTGCAGTGATGGGTGAACTAGCAAGCTTGTTGCAGTGGTGGGTGAACTAGCAAGCTTGTTGCAGTGATGGGTGAACTAGCAAGCTTGTTGCAGTGATGGGTGAACTAGCAAGCTTGTTGAAGTGTGGGTGAACTAGCAAGCTTGTTGCAGTGATGGGTGAACTAGCAAGCTTGTTGCAGTGATGGGTGAACTAGCAAGCTTGTTGAAGTGGTGGGTGAACTAGCAAGCTTGGTGCAGTGTTCCAGTGATGGGTGAACTAGCAAGCTTGTTACAGTGTTCCAGTGGTGGGTGAACTAGTAAGCTTGTTGCAGTGATGGGTGAACTAACAAGCTTGTTGCAGTGGTGGGTGAACTGGCAAGCTTATTGCAGTGGTGGGTGAAATAGCAAGCTTGTTTCAGTGGTTGGTGAACTAACAAGCTTGTTGCAGTGGTGGGTGAACTAGCAAGCTTGTTGCAGTGATGGGTGAACTAACAAGCTTGTTGCAGTGGTTGGTGAACTAGTAAGCTTGTTGCAGTGGTGGGTGAACTAGCAAGCTTGTTGCAGTGGTGGGTGAACTAGTAAGGTTGTTGCAGTTGTGGGTGAACTAGCAAGCTTGTTGCAGTGGTGGGTGAACTAGCAAGCTTGTTGCAGCGATGGGTGAACTAGCAAGCTTGTTGTAGTGATGGGTGAACTAGCAAGCTTGTTGCAGTGGTGGGTGAACTAGCAAGCTTGTTGCAGTGATGGGTGAACTAGCAAGCTTGTTGTAGTGATGGGTGAACTAGCAAGCTTGTTGCAGTGGTGGGTGAACTAGCAAGCTTGTTGCAGTGATGGGTGAACTAGCAAGCTTGTTGTAGTGATGGGTGAACTAGCAAGCTTGTTGCAGTGGTGGGTGAACTAGCAAGCTTGTTGCAGTGATGGGTGAACTAGCAAGCTTGTTGTAGTGATGGGTGAACTAGCAAGCTTGTTGCAGTGGTGGGTGAACTAGCAAGCTTGTTGCAGTGATGGGTGAACTAACAAGCTTGTTGCAGTGGTTGGTGAACTAGTAAGCTTGTTGCAGTCGTGGGTGAACTAGCAAGCTTGTTGCAGTGGTGGGTGAACTAGTAAGCTTGTTGCAGTTGTGGGTGAACTAGCAAGCTTGTTGCAGTGGTGGGTGAACTAGCAAGCTTGTTGCAGTGATGGGTGAACTAGCAAGCTTGTTGTAGTGATGGGTGAACTAGCAAGCTTGTTGCAGTGGTGGGTGAACTAGCAAGCTTGTTGCAGTGATGGGTGAACTAGCAAGCTTGTTGTAGTGATGGGTGAACTAGCAAGCTTGTTGCAGTGGTGGGTGAACTAGCAAGCTTGTTGCAGTGATGGGTGAAAAGCAAGCTTGTTGTAGTGATGGGTGAACTAGCAAGCTTGTTGCAGTGGTGGGTGAACTAGCAAGCTTGTTGCAGTGATGGGTGAACTAGCAAGCTTGTTGTAGTGATGGGTGAACTAGCAAGCTTGTTGCAGTGGTGGGTGAACTAGCAAGCTTGTTGCAGTGGTGGGTGAACTAGCAAGCTTGTTGCAGTGGTGGGTGAACTAGCAAGCTTGTTGCAGTGGTGGGTGAATTAGCAAGCTTGTTGCAGTGATGGGTGAACTAGCAAGCTTGTTGTAGTGATGGGTGAACTAGCAAGCTTGTTGCAGTGGTGGGTGAACTAGCAAGCTCGTTGCAGTGTTGCAGTGTTGAACTACAGATATCTCTCCAATTACATGTGTATAACGTTTAGTAAAAAATAAAGAATTAACTTCTTCCATTATTTCCACAATAAACAAGCAGTGTTGTAACTATGATGACGATGACTGAATTTACAGTTGTAATTACAGAATTTTATTTGTTGGTGTTGAACATCAGTTTCTGGCCGTCTTTTTTTTTCCCAAGCATCAATATTACAAGGCTAAGAGCTGTTATCGTACCTCAGCTCACTTCCAAGCTCAGCACTATCTAAGGTATACTACCACCCCCCAGGATGCCACCCACACCAGTCGACTAACACCCAAGTACATACTTACTGCTAGGTGAACAGGGACAGCAGGTGTAAGGAAGCATGTCCAACGTTTTCACCCGTACCGAGGATTTAACCCCGGGCACTCAGTGTGAGCCGAGTGCGCTGCCAACTGAGCCACGGGACACCTCGTAAAGAGTAATAAACGGAAGTGGTACCTTCTTGGGATACTATCATACCTACTCTTCAAACTGTGTCCTGTGACTCATGTGTGTTTCTTAGTTTTCATTGCAAACATTTTATCCTCCTTGACAAATTCTTTGAGTATCATAAGTGTCATAACTGTGTCTTCTCTACACCTTCTTTCTTCTTATACCTGAAGTATACCTGGAGAGGGTTCCGGGGGTCATCGCTCCTGCGGCCCGGTCTGTGACTAGGCCTTGCAATGGATCAGGGCTTGATCAACAAAGCTGTTACTGTTGGCCATACGCAAGCCGACATACGAAACACAGATTAAGGTAAAGTTATCTAAGATAGAAATCAGTAAGTGTAAAGGGGCCAAGTCTTTTCAATACTCTCCCATCATGCATCAGGGCAATTACCAGTAAGCCCAGGGGGTCTTCAAGAGGGTACAGTAGGGCCCTGCTTTACGGCGTTTAGCCTTATGGCGTTCCGCTAATGCGGACATGTTAAATTATGACCAAAACTCGCTGTATGGCTTCCCCACCTGACTCTCTAATATGGTTACCGCGAGCCACCGTTTGTTTACATTCTCCGTGAACTCCACGTCTCTCCATTATGTTTGGATATTTTCCAAAATTTCAAGTGTTTTAAAGTTATTGCGTATTTTATATGTACTCTGATAAATATACTTATGTGTACATGTACCTAAATACATTTACAGTGTGCTGGCCAGCAGGTACACATTAAAATAACTAAGAGTGTCTTGAAGACGCCATGTTAATAATGTAATAATAATAACACAATAATACTCTGAGGCTCATTAAATGTTGTATATTAAGGTAATGTAGACCTTTTCATTAATCCATCTATGATATTTTCTTCAAAATTTTATAAGGAACACGTTACATAGCATATAAACATGATACTCCCAAAGTAAAATAAATTTCACATAAATGTGAGACGCAGCCGGAGGAGAGAAAGAAATTCCGTTTTTACATGTCCTCAGGTTCGGTTCTTTTAGCTTCTTCCAATATCTCAGTTACCTCAGCTCCGGGACTAGTTTTGCTGCAGACCTTTGGAGCGTCTCGAGTTTCTGAAGAAACTTGACACCGCGGTGTGGGCTCCATGTTGGTGCTGCGTTCTCGATGATGGACCTTTGACTGACATCAGGTCACTCTTCCTTCTTCCTTGAAGGATCATCTATGGGTAGATTTTTTAAATTCTCATTGTTCGGAAATACCGAAGGTGTCTTCTAAATAATACACACGTTTTGGCAGGTATATTATCGTCCCTTAGAACTATAGTATCCCCATGTACGCTGTTTAAGACTGGACGGGGGAGGTTTGTAGGAGGGGAAAGAGGTGTGTAGGTGTGTGTGAGGGAGGGAGGTAGGGGTGTTGGTGTGGTGGAGGGAGGGTGGTAGTGGTGGAGACCATGGTGAAGGTGGTGTTAGTGGTAGTGGTGGTGGTGGTGGTGGTAGAGTGCGGGAGTCAGTGTGTTGTCGAGTGTGGTTCAGTGAGGAACTTAGTGTAGCAGCACCCCGACGCTCTCTCCACACCTGCTAGTCATGAGACACCTGCCTCACCCTCCCACCTCAGCTCCCCAGGTGTGTCTCACAACACTCAGATGTGTCTCACTACACTCAACTGTATCTCACAACACTTAGATGTGTCTTACTACACTCAAGTGTCTCACTACACTCTAGTGTGTCTCACTACACTCAAGTGTATCTCACTACACTCAAACGTGTCTCACTACACTCAGATGTGCCTCACAATACTCAGATGTGTCTCACAACACTCAGATGTGTCTCACAACACTCAGATGTGTCTCGCAACACTCAGAAGTCCCTTCTTGCATTCATTCCTTTATTTCACACCTCACCAAGTTATTCACTATACCTGGCACACACACACACACACACACACACACACACACACACACACACACACACACACACACACACACACACACACACACACACACACACACACACACACACACAGAGGAGAACAGAGACACTGCCTAACCGGAGATCAATCCACAACCTACAAGAACAGGGAGGAGTAAGAGGGAAAGTGGATCGGGTAGTACCCGATTGGTAGGAGTCAGTGACAGCGAGGGAGTGGCAGAATGGGACAGTGTCATCCGTAATGTACAATTTACGACACTGAAGAAACTTCACAGAACAAACATTTTAATCGGGACGCTGTTTCGCTCTGTGTAGAATTTCAAGGCACGAAGAAGCTCTATACGGAGCGACACGTTGTCTCAGAGAGAGAGAGAGAGAGAGAGAGAGAGAGAGAGAGAGAGAGAGAGAGAGAGAGAGTAAAGAAGGAGAAATTCAGGAAGTATGGCGCCCTCAATGAGTGCTTAAGGAGATATTTTCCATCCCTCAGCCGCAAAAAAACATAAAGTCAGAGGGAAAAATAAACCATCAATGTATTCATTAGTGAATACCCCACTACTTTGTCAGTAACATCATCAACTCAGTGTTGAACGCCCTTTCTTTCCAAGAATACAGTGATTCTCACAGTCAACCATAAATCACAAAACTCCAGTAAATAGAATGATAAATTATGTATTGAAGAGTGACAACATGATCAGCAGGACTGTAAGATCACACTGATGTTCACACTGATGTTCACATTGATGTTCACTCTGATGTTCACACTGATGTTCACACTGATGTTCACTCTGATGTTCACACTGATGTTCACACTGATGTTCACACTGATGTTCACTCTGATGGTCACACTGATGTTCACACTGATGTTCACACTGATGTTCACACTGATGTTCACACTGATGTTCACACTGATGTTCACACTGATGTTCACACTGATGTTCACACTGATGTTCACACTGATGTTCACTCGATGTTCACACTGATGTTCACACTGATGTTCACACTGATGTTCACACTGATGTTCACTCTGATGTTCACACTGATGTTCACACTGATGTTCACACTGATGTTCACACTGATGTTCACACTGATGTTCACACTGATGTTCACACTGATGTTCACTCTGATGTTCACGCTGATGTTCACACTGATGTTCACACTGATGTTCACACTGATGTTCACACTGATGTTCACACTGATGTTCACACTGATGTTCACTCTGATGTTCACACTGATGTTCACACTGATGTTCACACTGATGTTCACACTGATGTTCACACTGTTGTTCACTCTGATGTTCACACTGATGTTCACACTGATGTTCACACTGATGTTCACTCTGATGTTCACACTGATGTTCACACTGATGTTCACACTGATGTTCACACTGATGTTCACACTGATGTTCACACTGATGTTCACACTGATGTTCACACTGATGTTCACTCTGATGTTCACACTGATGTTCACACTCATGTTCACACTGATGTTCACACTGATGTTCACACTGATGTTCACACTGATGTTCACACTGATGTTCACACTGATGTTCACACTGATGTTCACACTCATGTTCACCCTGATGTTCACACTGATGTTCACACTGATGTTCACACTGATGTTCACACTCATGTTCACACTGATGTTCACACTGATGTTCACACTGATGTTCACACTGATGTTCACACTGATGTTCACACTGATTCCACTGATGTTCACACTGATGTTCAACTGATGTTCACCCTGATGTTCACACTGATGTTCACTCTGATGTTCACACTGATGTTCACACTGATGTTCATACTGATGTTCACACTGATGTTCACACTCATGTTCACACCTGATGTTCACACTGATGTTCACACTGATGTTCATACTGATGTTCACACTGATGTTCACACTGATGTTCATACTGATGTTCACTCTGATGTTCACACTGATGTTCACTCTGATGTTCACACTGATGTTCACACTGATGTTCATACTGATGTTCACACTGATGTTCACACTCATGTTCACCCTGATGTTCACACTGATGTTCACACTGATGTTCACACTGATGTTCACACTGATGTTCATACTGATGTTCACACTGATGTTCACACTCATGTTCACCCTGATGTTCACACTGATGTTCACACTGATGTTCACACTGATGTTCACTCTGATGTTCACACTGATGTTCACTCTGATGTTCACTCTGATGTTCACACTGATGTTCACACTGATGTTCACTCTGATGTTCACTCTGATGTTCACACTGATGTTCACACTGATGTTCACTCTGATGTTCACACTGATGTTCACACTGATGTTCACTCTGATGTTCACACTGATGTTCACACTGATGTTCACTCTTATGTTCACTCTGATGTTCACACTGATGTTCACTCTGATGTTCACACTGATGTTCACACTGATGTTCACACTGATGTTCACTCTGATGTTCACACTGATGTTCACTCTGATGTTCACTCTGATGTTCACACTGATGTTCACACTGATGTTCACACTGATGTTCACTCTGATGTTCACACTGATGTTCACACTGATGTTCACACTGATGTTCATACTGATGTTCACACTGATGTTCACTCTGATGTTCACACTGATGTTCACACTGATGTTCACTCTGATGTTCACACTGATGTTCACACTGATGTTCACTCCGATGTTCACTCTGATGTTCACTCTGATGTTCACACTGATGTTCACACTGATGTTCACACTGATGTTCACACTGATGTTCACTCTTATGTTCACTCTGATGTTCACACTGATGTTCACACTGATGTTCACTCTGATGTTCACACTGATGTTCACACTGATGTTCACTCTGATGTTCACTCTGATGTTCACTTTGATGTTCACACTGATGTTCACTCTGATGTTCACTCTGATGTTCACACTGATGTATACACTGATGTTCACTCTGATGTTCACACTGATGTTCACACTGATGTTCACTCTGATGTTCACTCTGATGTTCACTCTGATGTTCACACTGATGTTTACACTGATGTTCATACTGATGTTCACACTGATGTTCACACTGATGTTCACTCTGATGTTCACTCTGATGTTCACTCTGATGTTCACTCTGATGTTCACACTGATGTTCACACTGATATTCACTCTGATGTTCACACTGATGTTCACACTGATGTTCACTCTGATGTTCACACTGATGTTCACACTGATGTTCACTCTGATGTTCACTCTGATGTTCACACTGATGTTCACACTGATGTTCACACTGATGCTCACACTGATGTTCACACTGATGTTCACACTGATGTTCACTCTGATGTTCACACTGATGTTCACACTGATGTTCACGCTGATGTTCACTCTGATGTTCACACTGATGTTCACACTGATGTTCACACTGATGTTCACACTGATGTTCACTCTGATGTTCACTGATGTTCACTCTGATGTTCACTCTGATGTTCACACTGATGTTCACACTGATGTTCACACTGATGTTCACTCTGATGTTCGATGTTCACTGATGTTCACACTGATGTTACACACTGATGTTCACGATGACTGATGTTCACTCTGATGTTCACTGATGTTCACTCTGATGTTCACCTGAGTCCACTATGTTCATGGTTCACTGATGTTCACACTGATGTTCACTTCTGATGTTCACACTGATGTTCACACTAATGTTCACTCTGATGTTCACACTGATGTTCACACTGATGTTCACTGATGTTCACTCTGATGTTCACACTGTGATGTTCACTCTGATGTTCACACTGATGTTCACACTGATGTTCACTCTGATGTTCACACTGATGTTCAAACTGATGTTCACTCTGATGTTCACACTGGTGTTCACACTGATGTTCACACTGATGTTCACACTGATGTTCACACTGATGTTCACACTGATGTTCACTCTGATGTTCACACTGATGTTCACACTGATGTTCACTCTGATGTTCACACTGATGTTCACACTGATGTTCCCACTGATGTTCACTGATGTTCACTGATGTTCACTCTGATGTTCACTCTGATGTTCACTCCGATGTTCACTCTGATGTTCACACTGATGTTCACACTGATGTTCACTCTGATGTTCACACTGATGTTCACAATGATGTTCACTCTGATGTTCACACTGATGTTCACACTGATGTTCACTCTGATGTTCACTGATGTTCACTCTGATGTTCACTCTGATATTCACTCTGATGTTCACACTGATGTTCACACTGATGTTCACTCGATGTTCAACTGAGTTCACACTGATGTTCACTCTGATGTTCACTCTGATGTTCACACTGATGTTCACACTGATGTTCACTCTGATGTTCACAATGATGTTCACACTGATGTTCACACTGATGTTCACACTGATGTTCACACTGACGTTCACTCTGATGTTCACTCTGATGTTCACTCTGATGTTCACTGATGTTCACACTGATGTTCACACTGATGTTCACACTGATGTTCACTCTGATGTTCACTCTGATGTTCACACTGATGTTCACACTGATGTTCACTCTGATGTTCACACTGATGTTCACACTGATGTTCACACTGATGTTCACTCTGATGTTCACTTGATGTTCACACTGATGTTCACTCTGATGTTCACTCTGATGTTCACACTGATGTTCACAGCACTGATGTTCACTCTGATGTTCACTCTGATGTTCACACTGATGTTCACACTG